TTTTTTCTTATTTTACTCGATTGTTTTTTTTTTTTTGTTTTGACTAGGCATTACAGTGTTGGGCGGTTATTTTCGACCTACTCGGATGTTTTTAGTCTTTTCTTTTATTGTCCAAATTTTTCCCCAGATACCAGTTTGTTTAAATATATTTTTATTTTCAAATTGGATTATCCGTTTTTTTATACCAGTCGAATATAGGTATTAAAATAAACATTATATATATATATATATATATATATATATATATATATATATATATATATATATATATATATTTTTTGGAGTTTTGGAGGTTTTTTTTTTTTGGACTCTGAACTTGGATTCGGGACGATTGTTTTCGTCTCAATTACATGTTCTTAGTTCTTTTTTTTTTTCCCTTATATTTCCTTGGGTATTGGTTTGTTTATTTACAAGCCAAAACACCTAAGGTTTTTCCAGACGAGTATAATTACTTATATATATATATATATATATATATATATATATATATATATATATATATATATATATATATATATATATATATATATATATATATAATATAGTTTATACTGCTATATTTATGTGTAAAAATGCTAAATAACTAGGACAATATGTATGTATGTATGTGTATATATATATATATATATATATATATGTATGTATGTATATTAATCTATGTATGTATCTATGTAGGGAAATATTCTAGGTTTTACACGAATTTATTTGAATATAAATTTCTGACGAGCCTTCTTCAGGAATTATATTGAAGAATTTTTTCATCAAAGCTCTAATATATCGAATCAGATAGACTTGATATTTTTCAATTGAATAGAAATATCATGGAATGTATACAAAATATCTGCATTTGGTCCGAGAGTTCGCACATCTCAACGGGGAAATATTCATGCAGTAAAATTTCTTCTGATTTTCACTTCAACAAATAAAAAGTAGAGACAAAAAAAAGTAAAAGTAAATCTAATTTGTTTAATCGAGATTCTGATTTTGGCTTCAATTATCGCAGAGTAGAATGTCTTCATATCCATTTTTTAATGATTATTTTCTTGTTTGGAAAGACAGTCAATATCAATTAGCTTGGAATATCAAGGAACTATTCATGGCCATTTTATGTAAGATCTTGTATATTTTGTGCGAGCTGGTTTTATGGACTCAGGTATAAATTTTTGAACGCGTGAAAATTGCGCTTCAGCAGAAGAAAATATGATTGATTGTTTTCTTAAATAATAAGATGGCTCGCCAGAAAATGTAATTCAAACTTGGGTTTCTATTATTTTTCTCTTACTATTTTGGTTTTGGTCTTGATTTTTCCTCTCTTCCTTTCATGATATAAACAACAAACGTGTCATTCGCCGATGTTGATATATATTCGCCTTCCTTACAAAGACAAAGTTTTTCAAGATCTATGAAAATACATTCATTTCACCCAATTCTCTTAATTTTTTAGAAAATTTATTTAGAATTAGAGCGAGAAAGAGAGTACAACTAAAATATGTAGAAGAAAGAAGTATGCATAGATCGAAGCATGGCAAGGGTGTAACGGAAGACCATTTTTCGTTGATACTGACCGACTATGTAATGGGAGAATTGTTTTCTCAAGGATTCACTCACCATCATTCTTCTCTTTTTCAATCAACGAGGAGTCCCTCATATGTATATATATATATATATATATATATATATATATATATATATATATATATATATGTGTGTGTGTGTGTGT